CAACTTTCCCTGATTCAACAATTGTTGAATTGAAGATGGTCCTTCCTGTTTAATTACAAAACTTTACCCTGGTTCATTTTCTCTGACAGGAAACTACTAACCTTGCAAGAGTCCATACCTCCTGGCCTGGTCAGCTTTTCACAAGAGTAATGTGTGCTGTCAAACTTGTTCAAATTCCCCCATCATTGGGGGTGTCCTGGATGTGTAAGGAAAACCTAATTTCTTTAGTGACTACATTATTATCTTCTTACTCTTTTTAGAGCTTTTCCTCATTTTTTATGCAGAGAGATGACTTATGGTATTTTTCCACATGTTAAGTGACTCTAGCACTGAATTCCAGCTTCCTCTCATTACAGTTATAATAAAACTTCCCCACAGTTGGGTTTTCTTACCTTATCCTCAAAACACATAGCTATTTGCCGGGGCAGAGAACCTGTGGCCTTCTGATTTTAACATTGTTCTTTTATAAGTACCAAGGGAAGCAAGAAAAGCTTCCTCTTTCTCTGATACACCCCTTTTAATGAAATGATTTGTTCTCTAAAATTTGAATCCAATCAAACACTGTACTTAAGGACCTAGAAGGTCACCTTTTGCCTTAAGGCTGCAGGTGCCTCACTCCTGAATACTATACAATTCAGTAGCCACTAGCCACATGTGGCCATAGAGCATGTGGTAAAATATTCAGATGCCTTAAACATGGTAAACAGATGTCAGATGGTTTCCTGAAGATTAGAAGCACAGTTGTCTTTGGACAGAAGAAAGCCAAAAGGCGTAATGAGTCCACAGTCAAAAGACTGAACAAAGTTAAGAAAAAAAGAAAGAAAGAAAAGGAGAGGATGAAGTGAATCAAATCAGTGAAGTCATGGAATGATGACATGCAAAAGAGATAACAAAGGATGCAGGCCAGGGAGGACATGGTGGTGTGAGGATGCCCCCAAGGGTATGGCTGTGCTCGCCAAGACCTTGGGGTGAGATGATTGGAAGGAAAATATGTAGACTCTAATTAGAGTCCTGCTTCTGGACCTTGGATCTTTCTGGTTAAGATGTGGCTCTGCTTTTCTTCCGCAGAACAATGCTGGGAAATAGACTTAATACAGTGAACCCCATTAAACTCAGATGGCCCTGTTACCAAGGACCATTGACATGATGAGTCTGGCTCTTTATTATTTCCACTGTGCCCATGAGGAAACTGAGTAACTTGCTGACATCTTAAAGCTAGTAAGAGAAAATATTAAGATTTAAACCAATTCTATCTGGCTCTAACTCTCATTTTTACCCTTATTCTCTTTCTCCCTCCCAGATACAGTTTCTGCCTTTAAGTACTTCTCTGCCTAGTGAAGATATACTTAATTTGTTATTTTAAGCTATGAATTATTTGTGTGTTAAAATCTGGATAGCATACATCCTTTTTGGTTTGTGCTTTTAGAGACACATTCTCGACTTTGTTTCTTTAAAATGTGCTGGGATGGGAACTGTTCTACTATAGTTTCTAGTTAGAGAAGTTTGGGGCCTTGTTTTTGTGGAGCATTTGCAGTCTTAAAGGGCCCATTTGTGTGATCTAATTGTTTCAGGGAACATTAATGGTGTCTGTGGCTTACAGCAAAGTGGTTCTGATTATGGTACTTGGTGTTAATTGCTCAGTTCACCAAATTGACTGCTACAGTTGTGTCTTTGTTTTTCCTGCTTTCTTTTTGCCATTCAATCTGAGTTTGTTTTGATCAGATTCTATTCTCACTGGTTTTAATAGTGAAGGATCAAGGGAAGAATTAAGTGAAGGCTTAATCATCTTCACAGTTTCACTGCTTAGGCTAGTGGCCAGAACACAGGTGATAACATTGCCATCCATTCACGATATGAACACATTTCTATGCAGTGGGTATTCGATAAATTAGAAGTGGGCTACTTCTTGTGAGATAGGCCACACTTTGGTGAGAGTATAGTACGTATGGCTGTGTGCCATTCTCACAGTCTGTTAGGAGATGGTTACACATCCCCAGGATAAGCTTTGCCCACGTGTAAGCACAGTGTTCTACAGGAACACCTTTGAAAAGAACTTAATCAGACTGGGTAAATAAATGAAGAGAATTCCAGAGACATTGGTATTTAAACTGAGACCTGCAGGAACACCTTTGAAAAGAACTTTAACCGGATTGGGTTAATAAATGAAAAGTTTTCCAGAGAAATTGATATTTCAACTGAGACCTGCAGGGAAGTGGCAGTCGGAGGAATGGAGCAGAGATCTATTGGAAGAGGAAAGACATTTCTTGCAGAGGCAAAAGGACAAATGAAAACATTGAGGACCTCTGATGTGTTCAATTTAAAGTTTTGTTAGAGGATATAGTCGGGAGAGAAGGAAAGGGTAAGAGCTGTATGAGGAGGAAAGAAATTAAGAAAAAACGTTCTATCAATGTTTGAAGAAATAATGTAAAACATCAATATATCACACAAAGCAATTCAGGGAATTTCTAACATGATTCATTTAGAATACACATTTTATCTCATAAACATATTTTACTTAATTAAAAAATAAAAATGGATTATAATCTGAAAGTGCTAGAGACCTCATATTCACATAGGGACTTCATATTCACATAGAGACCTCATACTCACATAGAGACCTCATATTCACAGGCACATATGCAGATCGATTATATATCCACTTCATTACAATTCTACAGTCTGCACCGTACTTATATCATTAGGAACATTTACCTCATGATGAATGGGCTTCATTAGTAGTGGTTTGAGGCATTATTATTTATTCATCTATGAAGGTTATAAAGCTTCTATTAATTCATTTTTCTAGGAATTATTACTTTAAATCCCAAGGCTTTTTTGTTCTTCAAATGAGGTAGAAAATGGAGAATTTTTTCTATTATTTTAATGCTTCACTTTAGCTTTTAAATGAAGGCTGAGATCAATTCTTCTTTATTTGATTAATCAGTCTATAAATTTTAGAGAAGGCAATAGGTTTGATTAAGAGAATTACATGAAGATACATCCTGCAAACTCAGTTTTAAGTCTTAGTCTTAATTAGTATTACATACTTTCATTGGTCCACTGCATTATTTAATGTAATCAAACTTCAAAATTTGTATAACATTGTCTGTGGATGTGGCTTCTAATAGTGAATGAGTTAAATATAGTGTGTAATGCTCAAAAAATGTATTAGTCATTTACGAAAATTTGAGGTTACAAACATCTCAAATTCATTAATTTTTTAAAAATGTTTTGAAGAAGTATTGCAAGTAGGCATTTAAGATTTCAAAGATATTAAAATATGTCATATTAACTATTCATGGATAAAGTTTTATGATTGTTATGATAATTTTTGAAGCAAACTACTTTGGGCCACAATATTCTCTTTCCACCTTTGCACCTCATAAATCAATGATTTTTTATGTTTCTGGACACAGAGTGGAAGAGAGATTTCTCATTTACATTTATATTTTTGCTCTTCTTAAATACTGCTGATTGGGCAGACTGTATCTGTGCCACCTACAAATGGAACTTAACATGAACTTAAACTCATATAATTTTCATTTGCGACCTGACTATTGAGGGTTAGAAGACTACTGAATTATAAGCCACTTCTCTGGCTTTTATGGAGTTGAAAAGGGAATGGAGAGATTAGTGGAGAATCTGATTAAGATGAGGAATAAGGAAGAAAATAGAGTAAGTTTCCTCTCCGGGCTCCATCCCTTCCTTCATGAACATTTATTAATCTTGTACTATGAAGCAAGTATTCTAAAGAGGAAAGAGGGAAATAGCCAAGTTACGTACACATGCGGTCCTTCATTATAATACAAAGTTATACAAATTTTGAAGTTTGATTACATTAAATAATGCAGTGGACCAATGAAAGTATGTAATATTTATCAAAAGACTAAGACTTAAAACTGAGTTTGCAGGATGTATCTTCATGCAATTCTCTTAATCAAACCTATTGCCTTCTCTAAAATTTATAGACTGATTAATCAAATAAAGATTTTGTGAGCCAAAATCATATTTGAGTTTTAAAAATTCTTCAAGTTTATGCAGAGTATGCAGTTAAATACGCAGCCAGGAAATTTGATTCTCCTTTCGCTTTAAAAAGTATAAAGCCCCCGCAAGAGAGTCATCATCCTCCGATCTTTTGGAGATCATTGCCTGCACGCCAACATTTGCAGTAATTCCTATTAGGAGCCTGACATCTTTGTCATAATCAAAACCTATTCTTCCCGGCCTGCTCGCCCCTTCCTCACCTTAATGGGAGCGTAAAAAACTAGTTATACTTGGCAAACAGGAAAGGGAGATAAAAAAGGAAGGAAGGAAGAAGCGAGGGAGGGAGGGAGGGAGGGAGGGAGAGAGGACAGACAGTGAGCGAAATGAATGGACTAGAGAAGCTGCGTTTCCCCGGCTGGTTTCGCCAGTTTCCCAGCCCGCTGCCCAGCCCGCCGCCCAGCGCCAGCTCCGCAGGCTCGGCCCCGCCCCCTAGCGTCGGCGCCCGGCAGGCCGCGGCCGCAGCCTATCTCTTTAAGTGACAGCTGTGGCTCTAGTCCCAGTCCCGGGCTTGACGTCAGTGCCGCCTCCTGGGCTGCGAGGAGTAGTTAGCGCCACCGTCCGCGCTCCGGGCTGGCGGCGCGCTCTCAAGCTGCTGGGGCGGCGAGTTTTCTTTGCTCCGGCCCCTCCTCCCGCCCTCCCCGCGGAGAGCCGGGCAGCC